GTGACTCCTCCCGTTGCCGGGTATCGTCTCACAGACAAACGTCAGTGTTCTGGCGACGTGTTTACAGGAGGAGTAGTACACTTCACATCAGTGTCGTTCCATGATTAAAACACATATAGAAAAGGTAAATATACGGTTCCAATTTGACCTTTGACTCCGGTATCTTTCTAAGTATTAACGCCGTGTTAGGTTTTTCGTCCTCGACCTGTATGCCTTGTCATTTGTTGACTTCTTGAGTTATATTCTTTCCTTGGTGACATTTTGTTGTGTATTCGATGTTACATCGATATCATTCTGTTGTGTCATAACGTGCTAACTTTATCGTATAACTGTGCATTAATATTTCCCTTATTCTTCGTAATGGAGATTAAACGTTACATTTTCCTACTCCAAAGTCTATAATTTCTTATTGGTTCTCATCAATGTCTATAATTGCTGATTGGTTCTCTTCAAGGTCTATAATTTCTGATTGGTTCTCTTCAATGTCTATAATTTCTGATTGGTTCTCTTCAAGGTCTATAATTTCTGATTGGTTCTCTTCAATGTCTATAATTGCTGATTGGTTCTCTTCAAGGTCTATAATTTCTGATTGGTTCTCTTCAATGTCTATAATTGCTGATTGGTTCTCTTCAAGGTCTATAATTTCTGATTGGTTCTCTTCAAGGTCTATAATTTCTGATTGGTTCTCATCAATGTCTATAATTGCTGATTGGTTCTCTTCAAGGTCTATAATTTCTGATTGGTTCTCTTCAATGTCTATAATTGCTGATTGGTTCTCTTCAAGGTCTATAATTTCTGATTGGTTCTCTTCAATGTCTATTATTTCTGATTGGTTGTCATCAATGTCTATAATTGCTGATTGGTTCTCTTAAAAGTCTATAATTTCTGATTGGTTCCCTTCAAGGTCTATAATTTCTGATTGGTTCTCTTAAAAGTCTATAATTTCTGATTGGTTCTCTTAAAAGTCTATAATTTCTGATTGGTTCTCTTAAAAGTCTATAATTTCTGATTGGTTCTCTTTGGACATCAGTTGTTTATCTAATCATTCCCTGGAACGTTTTTGATTAGTTGCTTAACACATTGTTTATTTCTAGTGGTGTGTTTTCAGCCATAAACATCTATTATCGCGAAATTATATTATAATTACAAGTATATCGTTATTAATTGTCAGTTGATTATCAACCATAGTTTAGTGTTACATGGAACATCCACGGCATAAAAACACCTAGAAAAGATGATTCTTGAAACATGATCGTGTTGACAATATGTCCTGCCTTTTTGGATGAATTCTAATTTAAAGTAATATTTCATTATTCAAAATTATTTTCTTTTCGAAAATAAATTCTTTTTGAATATTGGTATTTTCTGTCAATAAATTTTGTTAAAGACATTCATTTGTGTATAAGGGCAATACAGCGGCTATTTTGTCTGCTGTCATTAAACTTTTTTGTTTACCTCTAAGATATGTTATTTTTCCATATCGATTACCCTACCATACGGCTAGGTTTCTTATCAGATTCCTCTAACATTCCGTATTTAATTTGTGGACTGTATAGATGTCTACAAGTCGGTAGTGCTCACCCTCTAGCGCCCCACATTTCATCACGGCGAGATACATATCTTGTGATCTGGGTGCGACAAAACCTTGATAGCCGCGAGCGGTCAGCGTGACGAACAATCAGAGTCATAACAAAGCTTAACGGTGAATCACTTACAAAAATGGCATATCTGAAGTAACATGGACACACGATTTAGTAGCCAAGTCATCTGACATCCCGTAACCATTACCTTCACGAAAATTATAAATTAATAAACATTTGCTTTTAAAATAAATTTCTAGAATCATCAGTTCACACCTGTAGGTATTTACTTTATCGTGAAACACGCAATAATATCTCTATATTGTTCCAAATCATTTGGTGAATTTGTCCTTGGCCCAATCAGGACCATTCATTGCTATTTTATATATCCTTTATATATAATATATATTTGTTTTATATAGTATAGTATATATTTTATATATAAAAGCTGTAACGTGAAGTGGTTCTATCACTGATATTTAAACCTGTTTATTCTTTATATTTCAGAAACATACAGTCAGGTAAGTAAACTTATGTCAGACAAAAGGAAATACAGAACAGATTAGGGTATATAAGCGTTTGTCTACGTTTTTCTCTCGAGTTTCTGCGAATGAAATATGTTTATAGAGGTTCCGTCCCGTACTTTGGCCATTGGTCGCATTGTTCCTAGCAATAAAACAGAACAATTTGATACAGTACGGTAGTGTATCAGGCCAAAGTTTTGCCAGAGTGACCACTTAACCAAAAAGTATTGTCCATACAAGACATTTACAATACTTACCACCGGTGGCCATATTGGTATATTGTCCGTTTGAGTCCAATCTGGACGCGAAAATCACACTAACAAACTAGTGTTGGTTTCAAACAATGGCGAACAGGATTTTTCGTGACAGACGTGATTCGCCGCTGGTCATCCGGAGCGCAGTCATCTGATTGGCTGTCGTGACAGTTCATAATTCTTCGTGACGTCACAAGGTGAAGGGATAGCCGCCCGCGCCCGCGGTTGCTGCTGCAGTCTGGGATCAAAGGTTACGAAATGATGTGTTGAGGGAACAGAAGGATTCATACATGACTGATACAGGTACACTAATTACAGGTGAGTACATGTGACGAAAAGTTGGCGTGAGTCCCTCAACATGGACTGAAGATCAAAGAAACCTACACATGTGTAATTTAAAAACATTACTCTCGACACTAAACATGTATTTATAAATAAACAAGATTCCATAAACATGAACATATTATCATTAATCTGTTTATAACTGACAAAAACAAACCCATGTTATAAGGTAAATGTACCTAAATCTTCAGTCAAATCAAAACACTGGTTTTTACTAGAGTTTCTAAGTTTTATCCTTTATGTTAAAAATATCAAACACGTGCGATATAGAAGTCCTTTCCAGATCACTCAAACGCTTGAGAAAATGTTCTGTCATTGATCCTCAAAACCCATCTTACGTCATCAGTCCTTCAAGTGTCCTTTATGATAATAATCATATTCCTTACATAACGACAAGCTCTACCTGTTAGACTGAATCCATTTTTTGGTTTTATTTTGGTAGACTTAACACAACTAGAATGTAACAGAGTTTATGCAAGATGATTTGCCCAGTATAGATTTTGAAATTCTTGTCCCGAGCGTTAGGAGTTATCTGTACGTATCGAAAGTGATTTTTTTCTAATTTCACGATGTTAAGTGATGACTGTTAACAGTTTCAATGTTAACATAAATTGGGCATAAAGCATGTGACAACATTGACATCAGAGTAAAGGCACGTGCCTACTGTTTTTCCCTATTTACTAAAGACATACTCAATTCTACTCTAGCTAAAGTGGACATGGGTCTGTGATTTAAGACAGAAAACATCCTTCCCGCACGGGAAATGGTCACAAACTTAAGATTAGAATATCTCAAACCTTCCGTATATAATTGTAATAGTAGTGGATCGGTGTGACTTACACATAGTGTTAAATACAGTCTCTGTTATTCAGCTGACGGGGTGGTGTGTCTTGGATATATTGTTGAATACGGTCTATGTCACTCGGCTGACGGGTCGGTGTGGCTTGGATATATTGTTGAATACGGTCTCTGTTACTCAGCTGACGGGGTGGTGTGACTTGTGTATAGTGTTAAATACGGTGTCTGTCACTCAGCTGACGGGTCGATGTGACTTGTATATAGTGTTAAATACGGTCTGTCACTCAGCTGTCGGGTCGATGTGACTTGTATATAGTGTTAAATACGGTCTGTCACTCAGCTGTCGGGTCGATGTGACTTGTATATAGTGTTAAATACGGTGTCTGTCACTCAGCTGACGGGGTGGTGTGACTTGTGTATAGTGTTAAATACGGTGTCTGTCACTCAGCTGACGGGTCGATGTGACTTGTATATAGTGTTAAATACGGTCTGTCACTCAGCTGTCGGGTCGATGTGACTTGTATATAGTGTTAAATACGGTCTCTGTCACTCAGCTGACAGATCGGTGTGACTTGTATATGGTGTTAAATACGGTGTCTGTCACTCAGCTGACGGGTCGGTGAGACTTGTATATAGTGTTAAATACAGTTTCTGTCACAGCTGACGGGTCGGTGTGGCTTGTATATAGTGTTAAATACAGTCTCTGTCACTCAGCTGACGGGTCGGTGTGACTTGTACATAGTGTTAAATACGGTCTCTGTCACTCAGCTGACGGGTTGGTGTGGCTTGTCTATAGTGAAAAATACAGTTTCTCTCAGCTGACGGGGTCGGTGTGACATGTATATAATGTTAAATACGGTCTGTGTCTCTCAGCTGTCGGGGTCGGTGTGGCTTGTATATAGTGTTAAATACGGTCTCTGTCATTCGGCTGACGGGGTCGGTGTGACTTGTATATAATGTTAAATATGGTCTCTGTCACTCAGCTGACGGGGTGGTGTGGCAGTCACAGATTGAGTGTGGACTACGGTTGTTTGGTTTCCAAGGGTTGTCTGCTCGTCAGCTCTGGTGAAGTAACAACCAAGGAATGATTTACATAGAACATGTGACCATTACATACAGCTTTCAATTCATGCTAGTAATGAGTTTAGTTTCGTATTAATTCAGTCGATTGTGTTTTGTGTAATTTTAGTTTCGTATTAATTCAGTCGATTGTGTTTTGTGTAATTTTAGTTTCGTATTCATTCAGTCGGTTGTGTTTTGTGAAATTTTAGTTTCGTATTAATGCAGTCGATTGTGTTTTGTCTAATTTTAGGTTCGTATTTCTGATTGACTCGTACGCACCACTAGAGTCCGTATCCGTTCATATATCATTAACAAGAGTAACTCCAGACGAACAAGTCTTTTTTTCAAATCTCGACCAAAATACAAAATATAGAACGTTTTAGCGTAGATCCGTACCGTGTACGTGGTGATTTCTACGTAAACAAAAAATAACACAGACAAACCAAAACAGGTTTTATTAAGCATTTTCATACCATAGAGTTTTTACTTTATAGAGTAGTCTCCCTTTATCTTTGAGCACGACTTTTGACAACACAAATGCACAATATCTGCTGATAGTAAATATTTGTGATTTCGATGTTACTTGTGTCCAGTCTTTTGTTCACAAGTTTCCAAAGTCATTCTGTTGTTACACAGAATGGTATTTGTCAACAAAATTACTCATCGGCATATTCACCTGCATCAATTAGTAAAAAAATGTATGTCGTAATTATGACATCTGTTAACTACGATTAATTATGTCGTAATGACGGGAAACGATGTCGTAATTATGACGTAACTAAGTGGTAATTACGACGTAAGTAAGTGGTAATTACGACGTAACTAAGTGGTAATGACGACGTAACTACGTCGTAATTACGACGAAACTAAATGGTAATTACGACGTAACTAAGTGGTAATGACGACGTAACTAAGTGGTAATGACGACGTAACTAAGTGGTAATTACGTCGTAACTAAGTGGTAATGACGACGTAACTACGTCGTAATTACGACGAAACTAAGTGGTAATTACGTCGTAACTAAGTGGTAATGACGACGTAACTAAGCTATATTACTAAATTCTATGTACATGTATCTCATGATAACGATATGATATATCTCGTGTGGTACTAGCTGTATCTAGTATATTTGTAACGGGTTTTTTTTTTACAGATTAGAAGGCTGAAACGTCACTTCTGCTTTTCAATCACTTTCAGTAGTGAAATATTTCAGTCACACTTACATATATATATCTATATAGAATAAATTTTATCAGTACTGTAATAAATGTTTGTTAATATCGCCATGATTTACTGATTTGTGATTCTACTCAAAAACAGATCGCAGAAAGCAGTCTCTGTTATACATCAGCATCCTCGTGGTGGTTACCGTTTGGTGACAACCTATTTAATGGAACAGCTTCGTGAGAATTGCCATTCGTTCTAACAGATCCTCTAGTCATCATATCTAATAGCCCCCCTCCCTTCTCTTTTTCCGCTTTTGCCTTGGCTTGAATCTTTTTATTGTGTTCCTCCTCTAGAGCGAATTGGACATGTTTATAATACATGATAAAATTATTAACGAGGACAGGTACAGAAAACCCTATCATAAGCAAACCAGACAATGCACAGAATGACCCTACAAGATAACCCAGGTTGGTGGTCGGGAACATATCCCCGTACCCTACCGTTGTCATGGTAACGATCGCCCACCAGAAAGCGTGTGGTATAGAGGTGAAGGTCGTCCGGTCATCCACGTAGTATATTAGCGAGGAAAAGACTAACATCCCCACCAACAGAAACGCTGACATCAACAGTAACTCCTTAAAGGAGGCACGTAAAGTATATATCAGAATCCACAGTCCCGGCACGTGTCGGATCAGTCGAAATATCCTCAGTACCCTAAAAAAAAACAGTGATTTTAATGATAAATACACAAGAATTGTCTGAATTAAAAGGAATAATATATAAATATATATATATATATTAGGTTTTGATATCGTTTATTCTGAACCAAGCTCATCTGCAGGAGATTTCAGGTTAGAGTTAACTCCCTTAGATTGATCATCACGAACTGGACATTTCTTTTCCGTCCAAAGTAAATCTCCAGTCAGTCTTCCTAATGTTATTCGATTACCTTTATATATAGATTTGAGTGTGTACAGTTACCCGGAAGTTAATCGCCCTTGTTAACTCGGGTACCTTTACACACGTATACTAGGCGGAAATACAAACAGGCACAAGTAATGACAAATTATTGGTACTCTAGTTAGCTGTGACCTGAATTTCCATTTTTCTATTTCTTCAAGAGGGAAACTGCTATCATTGATTGTATTTTCAATTATTACTTAATCTTCACGATCACAAGTCAAACCACTTCGTATTTGGTCTTACCTCCCTTGATCTCAAGCGCTGAATTTTTGGCAGAGTTACCTCCCGCTATCACATCCCCCAGAGAGAAACCTATTTAATTGTTATATCCCGTTACGATTTGGGTTCTATAGGTACTTGCCGATTTTCCTTCCCACAGTTAGACTGATTGTACTGCCTGTCTTAGTCTTAATCTCCGCGGGTTAAGATAATCCAGTCAGTCTTAGTGTTAATCTCCGCGGGTTAAGATAATCCAGTCAGTCTTAGTGTTAATCTCCGCGGGTTAAGATAATTCAGTCAGTCTTAGTGTTAATCTCCGCGGGTTAAGATAATCCAGTCATTCTAAGTGTTAATCTCCGCCGGTTATGATAATCCAGTCAGTCTTAGTGTCAATCTCCGCGGGTTAAGATAATCCATTTAGTCTTAGTGTTAATCTCCGCGGGTTAAGATAATTCAGTCAGTCTTAGTGTCAATCTCCGCGGGTTAAGATAATTCAGTCGGTCTTAGTGTTAATCTCCGCGGGTTAAGATAATTCAGTCATTCTAAGTGTTAATCTCCGCCGGTTATGATAATCCAGTCAGTCTTAGTGTCAATCTCCGCGGGTTAAGATAATTCAGTCAGTCTTAGTGTCAATCTCCGCGGGTTAAGATAATCCAGTCAGTCTTAGTGTTAATCTCCGCGGGTTAAGATAATTCAGTCAGTCTTAGTGTTAATCTCCGCGGGTTAAGATAATCCATTTAGTCTTAGTGTTAATCTCCGCGGGTTAAGATAATTCAGTCAGTCTTAGTGTCAATTTCCGCGGGTTAAGATAATCCATTTAGTCTTAGTGTCAATCTCCGCGGGTTAAGATAATTCAGTCAGTCTTAGTGTCAATCTCCGCGGGTTAAGATAATCCATTTAGTCTTAGTGTTAATCTCCGCGGGTTAAGATAATCCAGTCAGTCTTAGTGTTAATCTCCGCGGGTTAAGATAATTCAGTCAGTCTTAGTGTCAATCTCCGCGGGTTAAGATAATCCATTTAGTCTTAGTTTTAATAAGAACGGGATTTTGTTAACAAGTACTGGGATATTTACAGTAAGTTACCAAAGTTATCTACCTCGTGATCCTGAGAACAGAAATGAAATTCACGGATCCATCATACTGGAGTTCGGGACTGATGCTGTAGACAATAATTTCGATGTAGTCAGGTATGAGTGCTAAAAGGTCAATGACCCCCATTAGTGATATCAGGTACTGTAACTTCCGTTTGGCTAGAGTGACTCTACAGACAAATTCTACAGTAAAGAACGCCAGACACACGAGGTCTATCATTGACAACACAGGGTGTGTCGTGTTAATTGTTTGTTGTGTTATAGTTGTCACTGTAAGGTTCCCCGCGTCATCAGTACTTGTGCTCATAGTGACTGGAACCTCAGTTGCATTGACGTCACCGAATTGTGAGTATGTCGTGACGTTAGACCGCATTGTGGGCGTGTCGATGTGACGTGTGTAGCTGAATGTGGGGTGCGTTTCCGCCATGAAGCTGAATATAGACATCGCCACTACTACTAAGGAGATCCAACCGTATACCTGTAACAAACACAGTGAGGATATCAGCCCATGAAAACACGTTAATTATAACCGTATTAAAAATATATCTTATTATGTCAATAAACAGTGCGCGGAGCTGTTTTGATTTGAAACTTACAAAATATTAAAAAATGAGAGACTTCAGCTTAAGAAAAACAATGTTTCTACGTATTAACTCTAGGTGAGTTTACAAGGAATGCCGAGTATTTCGATCCTTATTGGATGACTGGTTTCTGATGTAAACATGTCAACATCCTTTCCTGGCGCATTTTTGGCTTCGAATGTTCCAGATACATAACAGAAAAGAAGAGATCCTAAATCCCTAGGATGTGAATCTGGTAAAGCATTTTAAGTACACGCTTCTGGCGAGAGAAGACGGACGGCAAAATATATAGAACACATAACAGATACACTTTCAGCAGACTATTGACATACCTTAAGGAACTAACTGTGTCCCTCTTTTGATCGAATTCATTGTGTTTTTTTTCTGTGCTGTGGTTAAATTTTTAACGAGGTTAAATTTATCTAAACAGGTCATAGAGACCTTCCGAAGACCTAAGATATCACTTTTACATATATTGATAGGTCTTGAAATAACGAGACGTTTATTAAGCCTGTTATTACATATGTCCGGCATCAGTCGAAATCAGGGCACAATAGACTATTCTACATCAACCGCTTACCTCGACCTTTTACAGGGACAGTTTTTCAACATGCTGTATATTGTGAGCGATGGTTAAATTTTTCTTTTGTGAACTTTCCATTTCTAAATAACAATCTCTACTTCCCCAGTCTAACTAAGACGTTTACATTTGATTCGACATGCAATTGCTAAACATCGGGTTTCGAGAGTCAGATTGATGGAAATTAAAGGAAAGTTTTATGGTTGCCATAAAGTTCGCTTTGGAAAATATTCTATTTCCTTGTACAATATGAAGTTGGACGCGTTTGATGCTCGTTACTATGCTGTTTGTCTTATTCTCATTCGTGAACAAGATATTACTTTGGATTGGCCACGATTTACATGACGGGTCTCGTCGATGAAGCAGAAGACGCTTACCCTCCCGGAACACCTGATGCAATGCACTTGTCAAGCTATTCTAAGAGCATTTTTTTCGCCAAAAACACAGTGAAATCTCCAACCCTGTGATAAGTCTGGAAATTTTAAAACCGGAGAGTAATCCGACTGTGTACTACAGTCCTGTCAGACATGATTACATAAATGGTCAGATAGTCACTGTACATTTAAATATTCTACTTTATATCAACATCACTGAAGGGCACATTATTTCTACTTATTCTGGAGAAATTTTAGCATACAGACATACACACATCATTCAACGTCTACGTGACCGCCGACGCGAGGAAATTTACAGTAAGGTGCATTGCTGTCTTGTCATAGATGTACCAGTGTGTATCGTTATGTCAACAACAAAATGCACTCAAATACACGGCACCATAAATAGGTTTCAACACTGTCACCTACGGCAGCTAAAATTACATGTTAACATCATGGTCAGGTACACTGCACCTATGAATGCGGAGATCTTAAGTCTGTTTCAGTTTTTTTGTAAATTATTCTGCAGACACGATCCGAGAGGTTAGACCGACCGTTTGTAGGGCCTCAACTCATTTCGGCGAAGCGCATTGATTCCCACGTTTGTGATGAATACAAACTACATCGTGAAGGTCACGTGCCCTTTGAATGACACTAAGCTGGCTTGAAGGAACAGCCGAAATAAAAACAAGGTGTCCTAACGGAACATGAAATGAATATGACATGTTTTGAAGGAGTAATATATAAAGGCTTTAGTGCAGACGAGCACACAAGATGAATTTGCAGACTTGCAAAAGTTAGATATTTTAAAGGAGATCTAAACTTGTGACAGTATTATCAGTATCGCTATGACTCAATACTGGGACCTGTTCTAACCAAACAATGTATTTAGATACAAGACTGTATAATAACAGCGAAGCTATACACCGGTAAGATCACATTCAGCTCACGTCCAGGACGAGAAGTCCCAAGAATGTGTCCATATGAGAAAAAAACTATGACACTATTTTCGCTTTCTAAAATTTGTCTTACTTGCTTTTAATTAATAATTAAACATAAAGATGATTTTTACACAAATTTCTTCACCCTCCAAGTACCCGGCGTATAATTCAACCAATATCATGACGTCACAACAAATACATACAAAACGTCAACGTCACAACTAATACACACAAAAGTCAACGTCACATCAAACACACACAAAACGTCAACGTCACATCAAATACACACAAAACGTTAACGTCACAACAAATACACACAAAACGTTAACGTCACAATAAAAAAACACACAAAACGTCAACGTCACAACAAATACACATAAAACGTCGACGTCACAACAAAAACACACAAAACGTCAACGTCACAACAAATGCACCAAAACGTCAACGTCACAACAATTGTGCGATCGATGATTTCATTTCACGAAACACTAACTTGTTAATAAAACCTTATAGGTATTTTATTTCCTGGACACTTTCTGCCGAGAATTTCCTTGCGGCGAGTAAGTTTCGGTTTTTCCAGGCACTGTCTGACATAAATGATTAACTCCTGTCTGCATTCTCACAAGGATCTGTGTATCTGTTACATTGATGTTACTATATCATAACGTGTTCTCATATTTCCTTTTAAGATACAAAAAAATTATAACAAGCATTCTCTAAACGGTATCTAATAGTGTAGAGTTATTGATCGTATTCTCTATATGTAAATATTAAGTACATACAAGTCAAAGGTCAGGGGTTAAATTTTATTATCTTACTTTAAAAAAAACAGTTAAATGTTAGAACAAAAGTTCAGTTAATGCTTGGTGGATGCATTTAGTCCAATAATTACAAAAGTTTAAGCATTGAACTGGAAAAAAATCAATAATTACAGATACATTTTATCATAAGGGAGACAGCTTCTATCTGTTTACATTACTTATCTCTACACTGTTGGCAGTTCATGGGCTGATAATACACAGCTGGCGTTGGCGAAGTTACATCGTGGCAATGCCATACAATGGTATATATTGTAGAATGAATGCATTCAAGGTAAGGAAACATACTTGAGAAACAGATGTATACTCTACTTGATGGTAGAAGTCAAACATTACTAAGATTTTACCTTGAAAATATGAAAAAAACCGAACCGCATACAGAAACGTACCACGGTAGTCAGTTTCTAAACTCATACGTACGCAAAATTCAAATTTCAATCGAGATTTAAGTTTTGCTGAAATACGATAGGTTATTAAAATGCTTTGGGATTGACACTTTTTTTCCTGAAGGAAAGTAAAATATATCATACCTATTTTTGTGTAAGCTATCGATTTCATACTTCTGGCTATAGTGGTTTAAATACAACACTCTGTTACTGATGTACAACACTGAGTGTAGAGCGGTGATAAGATTTCCAGTCCCGAAGGGTCAATCTGCCGAAGAGGTTTAGGAGCGAAGGACTTTCGTTAATAAAACGTCCTTCCCTTCTTTTGCAACTACGATTGAGAGCGAATGAGTGTAAACGATGACCCCGGTCAGTATAGACGTCTAAATACCAGTTAGAGACCAAGTCTAACACTTACCTACCGAGGTAAGCGGACCAAGATTTTTCTACAACAGGACGACACGAAAATTCACCCCAGGAGAGTTCAGGTTGGAAGCGGTGTCCGAGTGGAGTTATAAACCACATGATTCGTCTTTATCCAAACTATCCATTTCCCAAAATTGGTAATGCTAATTAAGATCTAAGTTTGATCAAAGCGCGTCACCAACTCTTAATATTTGAAACAATTGACAAATAGAATTTCAGTCTACATACAGGTATACAAACTAAACAGAAGTTCCAGTAATAGTTAGGCTCACTTAAAGAGCTAGACCCACTCCTCGACCGATATTATTTTACATTAAAAAAACACGATTTTCTATTTTTCTAGGGTAGCAAAAGTTCTGACTAACCCTGTAATGCCGCAATTTTAAAGTAAATCGCTACCAATCTGACATAATAATAGTTTTAAAAAAAATTCGAAACGACTCGGTGCTAATTCATAATTATGCGGGAAGTCCTGCCCTCTGACGCATGCGCAAAGAACTGTAAATAAATCTGCCGTCTTCTAATATGGCAGAAAGCGTGCGAGGAAAGCGGAGAAGAAAACGTGTTTTGACGGACTCTGAGGCGAAAAGAAGGAAGATGGCTGATTCATACTCTGTATCGCTCTCTGTTTGGCTCTCTCGTGTAGTATCACTCTAAAATCTTATTCATAAATGCTCTTATTGTTGAATATTCGCTTTAGATAGATCCATTTCTCGATGTATTATATGTATCATAGCCCCCATTTGAGGGCCTCTTTGCAATAAATCGTAGTTTTTCTTGTAATCTGCACGTTTTTGTGTCATATCTAAGCATTGAAAGATGTTATCAATACATAAGTTAGATGATTTCCATACAGGATATATAGAGAAATGATTGCATTTATCGGTAAAATCTCTTTACAAGCGATGTCACATGGACGTACTACTCTCCTCTTCCTCCATTTTTGTTTGACCGCGTCTGAACGTATCACGTGACTTTTCCTCATCAATATTCATATATTGGTGTTGATTAATGAGACAAATTCCGGCACCGATATCTCCGGTACCCTTTCAATTTCAAGTTCGAAACTTTATACAAGTCTTTATTTATATATTATCCATTAGTATACACCAGCATTTTCAGTCAATAAAACATAAAAAAAATATCTATAAAGGAGTGGGTCTGACTCTTTAAATCACGTGATCATACATAAACAAACTACAGGCATGAAAACTATGTGATTACAATACCTTAGTAAGTATGTCTGCAACATTATCAGAAACAAAACCATGTGTTTACCTTCGCTATTCGTGATGACGCAGGGTCGTTTAATATCATCCATAGCTTTGGTCGCCATTTCTTCCAGGCGCCCTTGCCTTGTTCCTCCGACTCGCAGGAATCTAGTAGCGACCCCTTACGGTCATGCTCGAGCTGGTTAAGGGCAGTAACTGTGGCATTCCATGAGTTGTAGTCTGTCCAGCAACATCGTTCAATTAAGTCGTCTGGGATCTGCCAAAATGCCAGCTCTGATTTGGCCGCAGGTCCGCATATATTGGAAGGGAGATGTAACTCTCCTGTTCGAAGGTAATTAAGTATACACTGGAAAATACAGACACTATATTATGTCACTTGAAACAGGCAGATAATTCTAAATGTTTTTTATACTATATGGATAATAGTCGTATTTTCAGTGGGCAAATTGGTAGAATAAGTGAGAAAATAATTTTTATAGATTTTGATCTTGTCACATAATTTATCCTTCAAGAGGATGTCAAAAACAGCTGAGTGCAAAAAAGGTGACAACTAAAACAACAAACATTAGGACACCAAGCAAACCGGAAATGTTTAAAACGGTCAAACTGAACAAACCAAAATTACAATCACGTTATTATTGAAGTTGACATTGAAGTTTGAGGTTAGAGCGTGGTATATCGTTACTTAATATCTAAGATTACATTACTATGTAAGGTTACAGTAATATCTAAGACTTTGTTAATATGTAAGACTTTGTTAATATCTAAGACTCTGTTAATATCTAAGACTTTGTTAATATGTAAGACTTTGTTAATATGTGAGACTTTGTTAATATGTGAGACTTTGTTTGTTAATATTTAAGACTTTGTTAATATGTACTTTGTTTGTTAATATGTAAGACTCTGTTAATATGTAAGACTTTGTTAATATGTAAGACTTTGTTAATATGTGAGACTTTAAGACTTTGTTAATATTTAAGACTTTGTTAATATGTAAGACTTTGTTAATATGTAAGACTTTGTTAATATGTGAGACTTTAAGACTTTGTTAATATGTAAGACTTTGTTAATATGTAAGACTTTATTATCTAAGACTTTGTTGGTATGTAAGACTTTGTTAATATGTAAGACTTTGTTAATATCTAAGACTTTGTTAATATGTAAGACTTTGTTAATATGTAAGACTTTGTTAATATCTAAGACTTTGTTTATATGTAAGACTTTGTTAATATCTAAGACTTTGTTAATATGTAAGACTTTGTTGATATGTAAGACTTTGTTAATATGTAAGACTTTGTTTATATGTAAGATGTAAGACTTTGTTAATATGTAAGACTTTGTTAATATGTAAGACTTTGTTAATATGTAAGACTTTGTTAATATCTAAGACTTTGTTAATATCTAAGACTTTGTTAATATCTAAGACTTTGTTGATATGTAAGACTTTGTTGATATGTAAGACTTTGTTAATATGTAAGACTTTGTTTATATGTAAGATGTAAGACTTTGTTAATATGTAAGACTTTGCTGATATGTAAGACTTTGTTAATATGTAAGACTTTGTTAATATGTAAGACTTTGTCATTTGTAAGACAACTGTTGGAGTAGGAATGAATTATTCTGAGAAAAAGACACTACGAGTTATGTATTTTACCTTTTATCCTGACAGAAAATTTTGTTTGTTCGATCGCAAATATTTCAATACACAGGAACTAATTTATGTAACAAAAAAAATCACAAAATATAGTGATAGTTTCGATAAAGATTGGAATATATTGCATCCTTTCATAGGTGTGTGGTATATAGTGAAAGCTAATTAAGGGAGTTCTGTACGAGATTAGTTCTCGTGTTATTAGATCTACTAGTGGGTTTGACAGGGATGTACTGGCGGACACTGTGTCGGGACTGTAGCTAATAGTCCTGGCCCCACTTGTATAAAACATCTCAACTTGAGGTTTCCTCAAGCCCAGATTTTCCTCTGCTAATATCTCCTTGAAAATATCTTGTATGAAAATTCCTCAAGGAATTTCAGGACATCCTAGCCGATGACTTCCTCCTGTTCCTTGAGAAAATTTTATACAAGCCGTTTTGGAGGAGATATCAGCTGAGGAAAATCTCGACTTGAGGAAATCCCAAGTTGAGATGTTTTATACAAGTGGGGCCAGATGACTTCTCTGTACTTGTCACCACCGTAACTAGTAATTAATTGCACTATTACGTAGAGTTATATATTTTCATGAAAGTTGTCTCTGAAAACATCCAGACTGTAAAGGTGAATGAGTTTTTTTTGACATTTGATGTTCAACGTTTCCTATGTCTCTATCGTTCAAATAAGACCAAACCTCGACTGACCGAATTCCACTGTGTAGAACGTTGATAATATAACAAAAACCTTGAAGAACTTGACAAATATAGAACACTGTTTTAACCGAGCGTAGCGACGCGCGAATTATTAATGTGATATTATTAGACCCTTCAGCAGCTTTCCCGCTCCTTCAACTTAAACCCGTCAAGTAACCATGATCGGAAATTATTATTAGTTGCGAGTTTCTGCATAATAAACACTATTTCTTTGCAGAACATTACCCATTTAAATAGCATCCTGAAATATTCAAGATTCAATAGCATGTTTAAATGAGAATGAGAAATGAAGGCAAGAGATATTCCTCACTAAAAGGTAGCATTGAGGAACGATAGACAGAGAAGCAGAGAGGAACGATAGAGAGAAGCAGAGAGGAACGATGGACAGAGAAGCAATGAGGAACGATAGAGAGAAGCAGAGAGGAACGATGGACAGAGAAGCAATGAGGAACGATGGGCAGAGAAGCAGAGAGGAACGATGGACAGAGAAGCAGTGCGGAACGATGGGCAGAGAAGCAGAGAGGAACGATAGACAGAGAAGCAGAGAGGAACGATAGACAGAGAAGCATTGAGGAACGATGAGGAACGATGGGCAGAGAAGCAATGAGGAACGATGGACAGAGTAGCAGAGTGGAACGATGGGCAGAGAAGCAGAGAGGAACGATGGACAGAGAAGCAGTGCGGAACGATAGACAGAGAAGCAGAGAGGAACGATAGACAGAGAAGCAGAGAGGAACGATAGACAGAGAAGCAGTGCGGAACGATGGACAGAGAAGCAGAGAGGAACGATAGACAGAGAAGCAGAGAGGAACGATAGACAGAGAAGCATTGAGGAACGATAGACAGAGAAGCAGTGAGGAACGATGGGCAGAGAAGCAATGAGGAACGATGGACAGAGTAGCAGTGAGGAACGATGGGCAGAGAAGCAGAGAGGAACGATGGGCAGAGAAGCATTGAGGAACGATAGACAGAGAAACAGTGAGGAACGATAGACAGAGTAGCAGTGAGGAACGATAGACAGAGAAGCAGTGAGGAACGATGGACAGAGAAGCAGTGCGGAACGATAGACAGAGAAGCAGTGCGGAACGATGGACAGAGAAGCAGAGAGGAACGATAGACAGAGTAGCAGTGAGGAACGATAGACAGAGTAGCAGTGAGGAACGATAGACAGAGAAGCAGTGAGGAACGATAGACAGAGAAGCAGTGAGGAACGATAGACAGAGTAGCAGAGAGGAACGATGGACAGAGAAGCATTGAGGAACGATGGACAGAGAAGCAGTGAGGAACGATGGGCAGAGAAGCATTGAGGAACGATAGACAGAGTGGTTACTCCGAAGTTCATTAAGAGACCCTGATCAACAAACAGAGGCCATGTTCCCTATTATTAATTCAACCATGACTGTAGAATACAAAACGGTTAAAGGCTATTTAGTCTATGTTCACTCTTGTGTGACAATGTTTATAAGTATGAAACGCATGGTTGAATGATTCATTGTATATATGAGTCAAAGCTTGATATACATATGTTTAACATAAGAAATGGTATATCTACCGCCCCTGGGTGCCAACTACAATGTTTTAAACAATAACAATTAAAAAAAACTTTTAGGTTAATAATTTCCAATTGAAAAGTTTACAAACTTCTTTTGAATTTACCTAGGACAGAATTATCAAACTTATCGGAAAACATCATCTCTGTGATACACAACATCATTTAACAAACTCCGTGTATACAACATCATTTAACAAACTCCGTGTATACAACATCATTTAACAAACTCCGTGTTACACAACATCATTTAACAAACTCTGTGCTACACATTATCATTTAACAAACTCCATGCTACACAACATCATTTAACAAACTCCGTGTATACAACATCATTTAACAAACTCCGTGCTACACAACATCATTTAACAAACTCCGTGTTATACAACATCATTTAACAAACTCCGTGTATACAACATCATTTAACAAACTCCGTGTTACACAACATCATTTAACAAACTCCGTGCTACACAACATCATTTAACAAACTCCGTGTATACAACATCATTTAACAAACTCCGTGTTACACAACATCATTTAACAAACTCCGTGTTATACAACATCATTTAACAAACTCCGTGCTACACAACATCATTTAACAAACTCCGTGCTACACAACATCATTTAACAAACTCCGTGCTACACAACATCATTTAACAAACTCCGTGTTATACAACATCATTTAACAAACTCCGTGCTACACAACATCATTTAACAAACTCCGTGTTACACAACATCATTTAACAAACTCCGTGCTATACAACATCATTTAAGAAACTCCGTGCTACACAACATCATTTAACACACTCCGAGCTACACAACATCACACTGACTTTGATGTCATCAGACACAGGAGAACCATCTAGATTTTGAAGTATGGAAAAGGTTGATGGTTAGCCATCTTTATTTCATTAATAACAACACTTGTACCCAATACAATACTGAGTTTAAATCATTGTTTGGATCTACTGTATCGTATGTTAATTTGTATCAAATGGTGCTAATCATCTCCGATGTGATTCATGTTTTGTATTTCTGATGATTTCGTAGTGAAAATGAGGATTCTATCCTGGGAGGTAGCACTGTTTGTCACGTCAGTTTGTCACATCACAGTTTATCACATCCCAGTTTATCACGTCACAGTCACGTCACAGTTTGTCACGTCACAATTCATCACGTCACAGTTTATCACATCACAGTTTATCACGTCACAGTCACGTCACAGTTTGTCACGTCACAGTTAATCACGTCACAGTCACATCACAGTTTAACACGTCACAGTTTGTCACGTCACAGTTCATCACGTCACAGTCACGTCACAGTTTAACACGTCACAGTTTGTCACTTCACAGTTTATCACGTCACAGTCACGTCACAGTTTGTCACGTCACAGTCACGTCACAGTTTATCACGTCACAGTTTGTCACTTCACAGTT